ATTGACAGATTTTTCCATCTCTACTTTCACGGGAAGTCACTGTCGATTGCTCTTTCCTAGGTCAAGGTTGTGTCAGTGAATTAGAGGGGGAAATCTCTCAAGCCCCTTTATCTCTTTTCTCTCTTGATCCCACTGCTTTAACTGTTGTTAATTTGCAAACCCTGTCTTTTAAAGCCTCAAACAAGATTGATTGCTATGTGAAGGTTGTGTGAACATTGGCCTCATGGTACTGGACAGCACTTTTCATTCATAGATTGCTTCCAAAGAGTGTGCCTCCATCCCAGTTTTGCTGATAGTGAAGCTGAGAGATAATGCCAGAATCATACAAGATGTGAAGCCTCAAACACTACAGATATCATCTTCTTTTTTCAGTGGTTACAGATTGACACAGCTTTACAGATTTAAATCATGTATGTTGCACCCTTATATAGCAAGCCTTTCTTGACCCTCTCCACAATATCTAACTAATTTCTTATGTCCCTACTATCTAGTCCTCTTCAAAGCTATCCCCGGCAAACCACATTGGTTGGATTCATAGTGGGTTGGATCCAGATTAAGTTGTACTTAGTTCCTATTGAAATAACTGGAATTAAGTAATGAATAATTTGTCCCATTGATTTCCAATTGAATCCAATGGCAACTCTTTACACTTCTGAGTAGACATACGTATATACAATTAGTCCAACTCATAGTAATTCCTATTTATCAGCAGATGCATATAGCCAAAAGTCTCCCCTCTTCCACTTATTATTCCCCCACCAGAAGACAAAGTAATGCTGTGTGTAGCTAAGCAGTAAATACTGTATATGCAAAGGAAAATCAATCAACATTAAGCTATCTGCAGTTTCTGTTTCAAAAAAATGGACTTATCTAGATGTGTCTACTTTTGGGCAGGGTGTTTACATATCCACAACAATCATGCTAACTCAGAGAGGCAATAATGCAAATCACAGAAATATCCACATATATCCCTAACAACATACCAAATAGAGCTTAATAGTAAGTAGAAAACAACCTATGCAACCAATAGACAATGGGGAATTGTGATCACAACCAAAGAAAGCTGAGTGAGGGCAGGCTGCATGCGTGACAAACTATGAGTTAGAAAGCTGAAACTTAAAGAAGAAAGGAAAGAGGATTACTATAGTAGGGATATAGTAGGGATATAGCAGAGATAGAATGAATTAATGAGGGAGGGAGGGGGAGAGAGAGAGAGAGGAAAGCAGAGATTAGATCTGTAAAAGAGTGAAAATGTAGACTAGTATAGAAATGGATGGATATCAATAACACTGGGAAAATGAGAACAGAAAATGCAGTTGTAAGATGAAGAAAAACATTTTTAGAAATCTGCAGGACAGAAGAACAAGAGGTAAATGCTCTGAAACAAACATACACATACAATCTGGGATACTGAAGAGACAGGAGGAGATTTGTCCACGATGATTAAGATTTTAATCACTGGTCTAAGATTTTCTAGATCAGCAGAAAGCTATGTGTATGTATGGGTGTGAAGAGATACCAGTCACAGCACATAGACATCATTTTATACAACTTAGCCATGAGATTTTGTATCAGTCTTAATGGATTGGCCTGTCATAGTGACCGCACAAGTAAATGCAAAAGACAATTCCTAACCTTAAATGCTATGGGTGGTTGCAGACTTAGAGTAGAGCCACTGGGTATGACTTAGTTCGATACTGTATAAGTGAACAGATATTGCAAGAAGGCAAACAATGTCCAAAAATGAATTACTTTTACACACACACAGCCCTTTATCCAAGGAACCCAGGGCAATGTGCAATATTAAGAACATAATTTACAGAGCATAATAATAATAATGAAAACATAATACAGAGCATAATACTAAACAGCATAATAAAATAACCATAATAACAGTCCCTGCCACACACATGTAACAGGCCATAGATTATTTCATGGCCGAAGGCCTGAGTAAGGATGAGTAAGGACGATGGTTTTTCTCTGGCACTTAAAGACACATAATGATGGCACCAGGCGAGCCTCTCTGGGAAGAGCATTCCACAGACTGGAAGCCACCACAGAAAAGACCAGTTCTCATGTTGTCACCCTCCAAACCTCTCGGGGGGGGGGGGCATAGATGCCAAGCACAGGGTCTGGGTCAGTTTGTATGGGGAGAGGCAGTTCTTAAGATATTGAGGTCCTGAGCCGTGTAAGGCTTTATAGGTCAACACTTGCACCAGCAACACCATCATAACCAATTTCCTCTCTGCTGTTCCCCAAGTCCACTAAAAGTTTGAGTTTCATAGAATTGAGTTTCACAGTTGGAAGAGACCCTGAGGATCCCTGCAATGCAGAAATATGGAGCTGCCCCATACAGGGATTGAACCTGCAAACTTGCCATTATCAGCACCATGCTGTAATCAACTGAGCTGTCCAGGTTTGTATGTGTCTTCCATATGTTGCCTTTGCTACACTCCAAATGCAATATAAACAATATAATTTGTTTCTGTTAGCTATTTTGGATCTCCAGTAGAGGATGGTGATTTTCAATTGGGAAATTCAGTAAATAAAAATTACAGTATATTTCTGAGCATCTTTCAGGAACAGTAAGACATTCAATTTGGACCAGAAATTGGGGATCAGTTAGCTGGCACAGGAGTATCATATCTGTTACTTTTTAAGAATGAGATCTTAATCCATTTTGTAATTAATATTTTGTATGATTTCATATACATAAGCAACTAATACATTTAAATAACTATATTAACATTAGTAAGAGCAGCCACAACCCTCACTTTCTGTTTTCCAACAGAAAACAGCAAAGTAATTGCCCTCCCACAACCCATCTCTCTGAGATAGAGCAGCTTCAGTAGCAAAAAGTAAAGAGGGAGAAGAAGGTTTCTGATGACCTTGCTCCTTGCCCTGACTCGTTTCCATGGTTCATTTCTCAAACCTTCTAACACAAAAGCTGTTCCAGAATCATCCTGGAAACAAGAAATTGTCCACCAGAATCTTCTGCTTGATAATGTATGTGTCACTAAAAGGAGAACCAGAAGCTACTAGCAAAGGAGGCAGTCAAAAGCATCCATTCCCCTACTCCAGGGAAATTTATTTAACCCAGCTTCAAATATACCATCCTGTAGTGGAGAAGCAATTAGAAAGGCAGATCAAAATTATTATATTGATTAAAATGGACTGCAACAATTGCAAAGCTTTTTATTACACACTCTATATCTATAGTCCAGTATATCTGGAGGAGCGTCTCCACCCCCATCGTTCTACCCGGACACTGAGGTCCAGCACCAGAACCTTCTGGCGGTTCCCTCACTGTGAGAAGCCAAGTTACAGGGAACCAGGCAGAGTAGTGGCACCTTCCCTGTTGAACGCCCTCCTATCATATGTCAAAGAGAACAACAACTACCAGGCTTTTAGAAGACATCTGAAGGCAGCCCTGTTTAGGGAAGCTTTTAATGTGTGATGTATTATAGTATTTTAATATTTTTTTGGAAGCCGCCCAGAGTGGCTGGGGAAGCCCAGCCACATGGGTGGGGTATAAATAAATTATTATTATTATTATTATTGTTGTTGTTGTTGTTGTTGTTGTTGTTGTTGTTGTTATATCTACATCTATAGCTATATCTATGTATCTCCAATCCTATCATTGTTGGTTTACTTTGAGAAAATAAATTAGTTGTTCAGTTTTCTACCACTGTGATAACAAAAAAGAAAGAAAAAAAGAAAATGGAGAAAACACAACTCTTCATTTAGTCACAAGTAAAGTAAGAGATTGAGCAAAGATATAGCTATATGGGAGCCAGAAGTGAGGAACAACCCTAGCATAGTTAAATAATTATCTATTCTGCACAAGAAACAGTCACCTCCGCCAAAAGAAGCCTGAATTTCACTGATTTCAAAACTGGAGAATAAAAATAATCAAAAGGAGCATATCTAGAGCTAAAGTATTTATGAGCTACATGAAGGATGTTGAAAAATTATCCCACAAAGAGGCACAGAATGGAAAGTGAACAGCACACAGTAAACATGGGCTACTATTATTCCTTTGGTTGGATAACTGACAATCGTTTTCTGTCTACGCAGCATAATTCTGACACATTCTATTAAGAAGAGAGTGACATGAAGATGCAGCAGCATGGTGCCCCTTTTCCCTTCAGGCTCTCACTGCCAGACAGACACTGCTAAAGCCACTAGCCCTGCAATGCATCACCAGCTGCACAGCTAATCTGCTCCAAGCACTAATTCTCAATCCACTAGCGAGGTAGTATGTTTAGTCAGACATCTTCCTCTTGCACATGACCATGAATATGCTGCCTAATAATTTATAAAAATGCAGTAGAGATAAGAATAGGGGGGTCTTTGGCCAGACAAAAATAGTTTGCTGCTAACCATTCAAAACCTGCTAAAGATGAAATTCTGAAGAGCAGCAATTCATCCTTCTCTCAAAGTCAGCATATATGCGTGCGCGCGCACACACACACAGACAGAGAGACAGAGACAGAGAGAGAGAGAGAGAGAGAGAGAGAGAGTCCCATCAATTTAAAAGGCAGCTATATTTTCTACAAATACAAAGCTGGCACCACGACTGCATGCAAGATTACTTACTGGCTTCTGACTTTAAGTTGCACAGAACTGGTGATAGCTCAAAGCCTACTAGGTGCCCCCCCCCCAGTGTGGACTGGGACCTACAACTGGGTTTAACCTACAAATTATGCTTTTGTATGTGCACCAGCAGCACTGCCAATATACATATACTGGGAGGAAGGAAATAAACAGCAGGTCCCATTTAGTATGTTTTGGCAACAGGTGACAGTGACTGATGGTTTGTTATTCAGCACTTTGGACAGCACGATGGTTAAAAAGTACTGTTAAAAAGTACCCAGTGGATTTTACATGGACATGGATCAATCCTATGTAAAGCTTACTTATCTTTTATTGTATGCATGTATGTAATTTATCTGCTTGTTAATTTTCTGTTTCTCTCCTGGTTTTTAATGTTTGTTTTTGTAAGTTGCTTTGAGTTTGACTTTTTAGGCAAAAAGCAACTAACAGATATGATTAAATAAATAAATAAATGTCATTTATATAGGTTTTCCAATAACACAGTTCTCTTGGTTGGTCACAAACATAATATATAGCAAAATAATAGTATGGAACTATATATTGTTGTTGTTGCTATTATTATTTGAATTATAAACTTTTCTAAATGCTTAGACAGAGGTTAAGATCTATGATAGATTTTATAGTGGCCATAAGGGCTACTGAAGAGACTATTATGGGAAAGGAGAAACCAGGAGCCAAAGGACAGTTTGCTGCAGCTGACCCAGTGGTGATTATGGAGGCTTTTCTTCTCTCTCTATCCACAGAAAGACAGAACTAACATAGATCTACTGATTCTTAATTTATTTTGCAAATAAATGTATCAGTTTCTTTTCACCCCCAAATGAAAGCAATTCTCCTGGTTTTCCAAAATATCCTGGCAAAGTTCTGATACATCATGCATGCTTTCTACTCTGTCTCTGAAACTGATTACACAGCAGAAAACAAATTAACTAACTGACCACATACAATTTCTGGAATAGGAAAAGGAATGCTAACATTGTTTTGACCTATGAAATTTTATATGCAGAGTGTATGTAAATCAACCAAAAATTATTTGCAGTTTCTTTCTGTTTAATTATAAAGCAAATACACCATTAAAATATGGCTCTTCAAGAGTCTGGGTAATCAGATGGAAAAGAAACAATGATTTAATTTCTTTCCAATTGCTCTTAAGCATAAGTGCAATAATCTAGAGTAGAAAATTATTTTATTAAACCACCCATTTTCCTACAGATATTACACCCAATGAAGATATCCCAGATACAAAAATGTGGATTTAACCTTTCAATGTTTGTTTAATGTGGACAGTGAAGGGAGGCTCAATATTGATAACTTGTCCATAGGAAAATCATAGAATCACAGAATTCTAGAGTTAGAAGGGATGCTGAGGGTCATCTAGTCCAACTCCCTGCGATGCAGGAATCTCAACTAAAGCATCCATGACAGATAGCCAGCCAACCTCTGCTTAAAAACCTCCAATGAAAGAGAACTCACAATGTTCTGAGGGAGTCCATTCTACTGTCAAACAGCTCTTACTTTTGAATCTGGAGGAAAAGTCTGGGTCTAAATAAAGAAGGAGGAAATATAACTTTGACTCTATTTTGTCCAGAAGGCAGGTACTTTTAAGACAATGCTTCTTGAAAGTAAGTCAAAGTTTACAAAGAGCTTTTTGTATTAGCCAGACATCCTGTGGAAGTCAGCTTGACTCTGTTCTTGTAGGGAGGAAGAGAGTTTGTGAGTTTGTGTTACTCTTGTGGTTGCTGTTCTGGACAATGGCTGAGGCTATAAAAAAACATTGTCTCTCTCAAAAGACCTAGATGCAAACTGTAGCGCAGTGCCAGGGCAGCTGCTTGGAGTGCAGAAGGGTCAATCCTAGTCTAATTCTAGTCCAGAGAGGAGACTCTAAAACCTTGAGAGAGCCACTGCCAGTTTCAGAGGTCACTGTAAAATTAACAGTGGTGGAGTGCTTCTGTTTGGAAATTCATTCCAAACTTGCTATTCAGCCAGGCAGCTGTGTGTGTGTGTGTGTGTGTGTGTGTGTGCTTGCTTGCTTGCTTGCGCATGCATAAATATATATATTACCACCCTTCATCGAAAAGATCTCAAGGTTGTTCACAGCATCAAAATACTGCACAAATAAAAGCACAAAATACATAATATAAACAAATACAAATACAAAAGGAAACGAAAAACCTGTCACTCACAAACACATTTAAAAGGCTGTAGAATGTTCAATCAGAGCAAGGCCAGGTTGAAGAGAAAAAATTTCATCTGTCACCTAAAGATATGTAATGAAGGTCCCAGTTGAGCCTCCCTGGGGAGAGCATTCCACAAGGGGGGAGTCACTGCAGAAAAGTCCTGTTCTCGTGTTGCCTCCCTCCAGACCACTTGCGGAGATCTGGCACATGAAGAAAGGCCTCATGTGATGATCACCGCTTTGAGATTTTTCTTAAAAATATAAAGCGGTATAGAAATGAAATAATTAATAATAATAATCAAAGGGTTCAGATCAGTTTATATGGGGAGATGCGGTCCTTGAGGTACTGTGTTTCTGAGCCACCTAAGGCTTTATAGATGAAAACCAGCACTTTGAATTAGGCCCGGAAACCACTTTGGTAGCCCGTGCAGTTGGGCCAGGCTTGGTGTTATATGCTCATACTGTCTTGCCCCAGTGAGCAACCTGGCTGCCAAATTCTGCACCAGCTGAAGTTTCTGAACCATCTTCAGAGGCAGTCCTGCGTTTAATGCATTGCAGTAATCTAACCTGCCTTCATTTTGGGAATTAATGTGAGCAGCCTGAGATGTTTCTTTTTAGTTATACCTGGCAATGCTTAGTCCCCTGGTAATGGGGACTCTGTTTCTTAGTTTAGTATCTATCTATCTATCTATCTATCTATCTATCTATCTATCTATTGTTCATTTGTTTGTTCGTTTGTCTTTTAATCATATTCATGTAACCTTGTGCAGTTACTACCAAGGAAAAAATGGCCTGCTATTCTTTGTCTGACAGAGTGAATCTTTCTCAGACTATTCACAGACTGTTCAGTTTGCTGTGGGTCTGCTCCTGAATGCTAAACAACCTCCCATACTGCCTACTTTCTCTCAGAGGAGCTTAAACAGGAACCTCAGCTAGGGCACTGAAATGTTGGCATGGCAACGTTGAAGAGAAAAGCTGCAACCTCTGGCATCCTGATGAGCCGTAGTAGCAGCTTGTTTATATAGCTTGCTGTTTTGCAGCATTTCAGTGCAATCTCTCCTGTTTATCCAAGACCGTATTTCAAATGAATGAATTCATATTTTATGAATGAGTACTCTAGAACTAACTGGAGAAATGATTTGGGGAAGCAAGCATACAAAGTTGCCCAAGTGGGTGTGTAACTTCAGTGACCTTTAAGGAATCATGTTTGGGATCACTATAGGCAGCTTTGTTAAAAACGAGCTCAGGCATGGCGGCAAACTTTGGCAAAGAGCTGCAGCAGCATACTAGTTTCCTCCGGGAACGTGAACCACACAACAGCCTAAGGCTGCTGGAGAAAGGACAAGGGAACACTCAGTCAGACAAGGAAAACACATATAAAATCTCTGGAGTCAAATCCATTCATCCAAGGCAAGAAACGGAATTATTCAAGAAATGAATTTATCCCCTTTGAAGAAAGACAGGAAGAAAAAGCTGCAGCAGTTTCTCCCAGCTAGCTGTTCAAATTCTGATTCAGTACATACTAAAAAGCAAAGTTCCATATTTATCAGGTGACCTTCGTGGACAGCAAATAATCCCACAAGAAAATTATGGTCTAAAAATTATGTGTAAAAGATGTTTTAAAGTTTCTACAACCTTTTTCTGGGGAAAGCTGCAAAATCTGCTTGCCATGTTACTTTGCCAATAGACATGTTGAGTTGGATCCTGACTAAGTGTGAAATTCTATACTCACCTACCTGACAGCAAACCCCATTGAAGTCAATGGACTACCTCTGAACAGACATACGTATAGAGAATTGTGGTGTTAGCTGCATTTTGTTCATAAAAATCATAAGACTTAAGTTGATCATAACTATATTTTCACACTGATTTCAGTGTGATCTAAACACAACTAACAGTCTGGATCCAACTTGTATTGACTAGAAGGACAGCAACAGAGAACTAACATTTTAAAAAGAAAAGAAAAATCACATTTTATAAATCAGGTGTAAAAATTAAAGCCTGCAACTCCAGATTTATTAAAATGCAAATATCAGCTGACAAAGCAGAATGATAGATGACTAATTTAGAGGGGAGGGTTACCAAGGTGCTCAGTTCAGTTGCCACTCTGTGTATGCCCCAGAACGCCTTGGCTCCTTTGCTCTACAGGTTATTCTGCAATGAGTGTGCAAGCACAACAGAGGAAGCAATCCTTTTTATAGACTAGCTGCTTTCACTGAAAAGCGGCTTCTGGCTGTCATGGGATTGAGCTGTGCAAGAACTCTATTTGCTAATACCTAATGTGAGACCTAAGCCTTTTGCCAACTGCTAGCACAAGCAAACCTCAATTCAGTCATTATTTAGTCCTGAGGAGGTTGAAGCTTCCATCCACTGCCCCATAGCAATAATCAATAGCCGTTTGCTTTCCTCTCAGCTGATGCACATCTACTTTCATGCCCTGAATGCGGAATCTCCGTTGCCTACATTTCAAATATGACATGGACTTAGGGCACTCTGTATTGAATAACTCATGGAACAAACCTATGCTCCCCCAGAGAGAGGTCTGGTGGCCTCCTCTATCCTGTCCCCCGGGTTCTCCCTTAAGGAAAGTTTCTCTGTTTTTGAATCAATAGGGGGTTCTCATTTTGCATCAAGATGTTTGTATTTGTGGACTTCCAGGGAGGAATCATGGTGGACTAGTCGTCTCCTCACAACATTCCATCAACAGAGATCATTATTTGCTGATTAAAGATAGCCAAGCCATAAATCTTGGTTATCACATTACCTCTGGAGGAACAGAGATAACAGGGACTTCCAATGCTCTGAAAGGGTTGCTCTTCACAATGAGAGACTAAGAAATTTTCGATCGACGGATGGAAAGCTATGGCCCACACGAAATAGGTTTGGAAGATTGAGTGTGAATTAATGAATATACACTAAGTAAATAACTATGAATTAATAATTTTCATATATGACCACAACAAAGAGACTCCCGTGGGAATAAAGATCAAGGATTTATTGCTTCTCAACACTGGAAGTAAAATTGCTTTGTTGGCCTGGAGAAAGACTATTGTTGACATTTATCCATAATAAAAAATGGAAAACTTCCTTTAGACTTTTTGTGTGGAAGGAAAAATGAATGGAGATGCCCTGGTCTGAAGACTGGGAATATATTGCCTAGCAGAAGGAGGAACAGCTGGAGTGAACAATTTGAATATTTTGAATAATTTTTATATATACAACTGAGAGAATTGGATGTCTATTTTATTTCTCTTTCATTATCTTTCCCCCTTATTTATCATTTCTATTTTTCTGTTACTTTTCCTTTTCCTTCATTGCTTGTCTTTTCTTTTCTTTTTTAGATGTCCTCTACTCTGGGTCAATGAAGGGACTGTATGCAAATGAAGCTGATGGCTGGCTGGTGAAGGACCCTGTGGGAGAGGCAGGGCAGGGCAGCTCTCCCAGGGTAGGAGGCTGGGAAGAAATATAGTTTAAGCATCCATCCATCTAAGGACCAATGGCCAGCCTGCTTCTTCATATCTGTAAACTGAGGACTGTGAGCATTACCATTTCTTATCTTGACATTCATCATCTCTATCTGCTACTAAATGTATTTACTTTTTTGCCATTACAACCAGCTCATTGTATCAGCAAAGGAGACCTTTCTGCCAGTTTGTGGTCATGTGGTCATCTTGGATATGTTTCACTTTTTGTTAAGATAACCTCTTTTCACTGGAGGCTGCAAGCATGTGGCAGCAAAGAGAGCAGGAAATGTGGGAGGCACCACACTGTTCCCTACATTGAATCTGGCATTCTGTGCAGTTTTGTTATGTCTAACTAGCCTGATTCACTCCCAAAATGAAATTTTGTTATTCTTAAAATGTCAAGCATGAACATATGACGTGTACCATGTGCTTGCCAGTGCCTAAATCAGTATGGGCCAAAGTGTGCAATGTATAACAATTAATATCACGATCTCCTTTCGGGGGAGGTGTGTGAAAAAAAGCAGAGCAGTTCATTATAACAGTTTATATCGCAGGAGACTAATCATCAACAGGATAAGCATCATGCTTGGGCTTTCATAGAATAAATTGCTGAGCAGAAATAAACATAGGCCTATTTTCTTTTTGATATTCCTATTTAGAAGTATCTGCTTACCCTGCACTTAGTAATTTTTTCAAAATATCAACAAAAAATGAATGTCTGAAACTAAATATCTAATATTCTAGGCTGCATCAACAGAAATGCAGTGTCCCAATCAAGGGAAGTAATACTCCCGTTCTATTCCGCCTTGGTCAGACCATACCTGGAGTCCTGTGTCCAGTTCTGGGCACCACAATTTAAGAAGGATGATGATAAGCTGGGTAGTGGGCAGAGGGCGACCAGATGATCATGGGTCTGGAAAACAAACCTTATGAGGAACGGCTGAGAGAACTGGGTATGTTTAGCCTGTATAAGAGGAGACTGAGAGGAAATATGATGGATGTCAGGGAACTGCCATCGGCTCAGAGGCTAGAGATAGAGGGGGAGTTGTGTTACAGGGAGCCTCCGAAAATCTTGCGAAGCAGTTCCTCTTCCGGTGAGGAGGAAAGTCCCACCTCCAGTGGAGAAGAGGTGCAAGGACCAGAGGTGCTAGAAAGAGCCTTAGCACTGTGCCTGAGCAAGCCGGAGAGGAGGGAAGCACACCCCTGCCCTCACCCATCATGCGCAGTAGTTTGAGGTGCAGGGAGGGGCGGAAAAGGCTGGGGGTGACGAAACTTTTATGTTGGGGGAGGTACAAGAACAGACCACTCCCGGATTCTGCTAGCGATTGAGCCAGACATGAACTTATGACGCTCTTCACTGTAAATAGTTTGCACCAAAATAAAGCCTGTAAAAGACAGGTCGGAGTCCTGCCTGGTTACTCTCGAGCAACCACAACAGCATCTGACAATAGCCATCTTCAGATTTCTAAAGGGCTATTACATGGAGCATGGATGAAGATTTCTTCTCCCTGCTCCGGAGGCTAGGACTCGAAACAATGGCTTCAAGTTACAAGAAAGAAAATAGGGTGGCACTATTTGCACTAGCAGCAAGAAAGATAAGGGCAACCTTTCTGGATAGTGCTAGTGCTAAACCCTAGGGACGCTGACTAGAAGTAACTTTCCTAAATTGTAGACTTGTCCTGGTGTGGTGCATGTATTGTTTTTATTTATTTTTTTATTTTTGTAGCTGTGTGGTTTGTGCTCGTACTGTATTAGCTATAAACAATATATATATGTGTCAAGGCTGCCTCAGGTCTCAGCTCACAAAAGACCAACGCCAATCTCTTCTTATATACAAAAGTGTTTATTGCAGTTCATTGTTAGCTTCACATCCGAGGCGCGCAGCCCCACGTCTCTTACGCTTAGACCGTTGAAGTCCCCTCTGAGTCAGTCCCTCCCCTGCACCAGTTTAAGAAGCTTGCGCTGCTCCACCTCTTCCTCTCTTTCCTTTTCCGCAGGGTCTTCCTGCCCCCTGGGGTTTCGCCCCTCCTGGATTCCCCTGACGCGGAATCCCCAGACTGCTCTTCCCCCCTCCTGCGGGCTTTGGGACCTGGCTCTTCCTCCGGGCTCCCTGTACTTCCGCGCGCCTCTACATTTGAACTTGCGCGCGCGCCCAACCTCTAACCTTCCTTTTGACAGTTACACTACTCCCTTCACTACTCCCTCCCCTTCCGGGAGGGTGGCTCGCTCCGACCTCCCTCCTCTCTCAGCTGCCGGAGCTGCTCCCCTGATACACTGGAACCTCCACCCCCTTCGCTGCACTCTGGCGGGGAGGCTGGTCCTGACGCCCAGCTGCCACTTTGGGATCCCCTGCTGGCCCCCTGTTCCTGACACGTCCCCCCCTGGGGCTCCCCTGGCCCTGACCACCGGCGCCCCCTTCTGGGAATCCTCTGATTCGCTGGAAAGACTCATGGAATCTCTTGAGTCATTGTCATCCTCTTCCTCGCTGTCCTGGGATTCATCCCCATCGCTCTCCATCTCCTGCCTACCCTGTGCCTCTGTCCCTGAACCCCTGACAATATGTATTTCAAAACTAAAGAACTTTCTGACAGTAAGAGCTGTTTGACAGTGCAACAGACTCCCATGAGAGGTGGTGGACTCTCCTTCCTTGGAGGTTTTAAAGCAGAGATTAGGTGACCATCTGTCATGGATGATCTATAATAATAATAATAATAATTTATTATTTGTACCCCGCCCATCTGGCTGGGTTTCCCCAGCCACTCCGGGCGGCTTCCATAGAAACCAAAAATACAGTAAAATATCACAGATTAAAAACTTCCCTGAACAGGGCTGCCTTAAGATGTCTTCTAAATGTCAGGTAGTTATTTATCGCTTTGACATCTGATGGGAGGGCGTTCCACAGGGCGGGCGCTACTACCGAGAAGGCCCTCTGCCTGGTTCCCTGTAGCTTTGCTTCTCACAATGAGGGAACCGCCAGAAGGCCCTTGGCGCTGGACCTCAGCGTCCGGGCAGAACGATGGGGGTGGAGACGCTCCTTCAGGTATACTGGGCCGAGGCCGTTTAGGGCTCTAAAGGTCAACACCAGCACTTTGAATTGTGCTCAGAAACGTACTGGGAGCCAATGTAGGTCTTTCAAGACCGGTGTTATGTGGTCTCGGCGGCCGCCCCCAGTCACCAGTCTAGCTGCCGCATTCTGGATTAGTTGTAGTTTCTGAGTCACCTTCAAAGGTAGCCCCACGTAGAGCGCATTGCAGTAGTCCAAGCGGGAGATAACTAGAGCATGCACCACTCTGGCGAGACAGTCTGCTGGCAGGTAGGGTCTCAGCCTGCGTACCAGGTGGAGTTGGTAGACACTGCCCTGGATACAGAATTGACCTGCGCCTCCATGGACAGCTGTGAGTCCAAAATGACTCCCAGGCTGCGCACCTGGTCCTTCAGGGGCACAGTTACCCTATTCAGGACCAGGGAGTCCTCCACACCAGCCCGCCCCCTGTCCCCCCAAAACAATACTTCTGTCTTGTCAGGATTCAACTTCAATCCATTAGCCGCCATCCATCCTCCAACCGCCTCCAGGCACTCACACAGAACCTTCACCGCCTTCACTGGTTCTGATTTGAAAGAGAGGTAGAGCTGGGTATCATCTGCATATTGATGGACACCCAGTCCAAACCCCCTGATGATCTCTCCCAGCGGCTTCATATAGATGTTAAAAAGCATGGGGGAGGACGGAACCCTGAGGCACCCCACAAGTGAGGGCCCAGGGGTCTGAACACTCATCCCCCACCACCACTTTCTGAACACGGCCCAGGAGGAAGGAGCGAAACCACTGTATAACAGTGCCCCCCGGCTCCCAGCTCCTCTAGACGGTCCAGAAGGATGTTATGGTCGATTGTATCAAAGGCCGCTGAGAGATCCAGCAGAACCAGGAAACAACTCTCACCTTTGTCCCTAGTCCCCGGAGATCATCAACCAGCGCGACCAAGGCAGTTTCAGTCCCATGGTGAGGCCTGAATCCCGATTGGAAGGGATCCAAATGGTCCGCATCCTCCAGGCGTGCCTGGAGTTGTTCAGCAACCACGCGCTCAATCACCTTGCCCAAGAATGGAAGATTTGAGACTGGGCGATAGTTGGCCATACTGGCCGGGTCTAAAGATGGTTTTTTAAGAAGCGGTTTAATGACCGCCTCTTTCAGCGGATCTGGGAATGTTCCCTCACAGAGGGAAGCATTCACCACCCCGCAGAGCCCATCGCCCAGCCCTTCCCGGCTTGCTTTTATTAGCCAGGATGGGCAAGGATCAAGGAGACAGGTGGTTGGTTTCACGCGTCCAAGCAGCCTGTCCACATCCTTGGGGGTAACGGATTGAAATTGATTCCATGCAACTTGACCAGACAGAGCTCTAGCACTCTCCCGCCCCGGCCCTGCTCCCACGGTGGTGTCTAGCTCCTTCTGAATATGCGTGATTTTATCTGCAAAAAACTTTGCAAAATCGTTGCAGGAGATCTTGGGGTCTTTACAAGGCCCCGGTGGTAAAGGTGGTTCCGTTAAATTGCGAACCACCTGAAAGAGTCTCCTGCTACTATTTTCTGCAGATGCAATAGAGGTGGTGAAGAAAGTCTTATTCGCCGTCGCTATTGCCACTTGGTAGGCTCGACGTTGAGCTCTAACCTGTGCCCGGTCAGATTCGGAGTGAGTTTTCTGCCACCGACGCTCTAGCCGTCTCAGCGATTGTTTCATTGCCCTCAGCTCCGAAGAAAACCACGGGGCTGTCCGGGCTCCATGCAATCGGAGAGGGCGTTTCGGAGCCAGACAGTCGATAGCCCTGGTTAACTCCGCATTCCAGCGGGCCACCAGGGAATCAGCTGAAAGGCCATCAACATGGGCTAAAGCATCCCCTACCACTCTCTGGAAACCATTTGGATCCATTAAGTGGCGGGGCGGACCATCCGAGCTGGTCCCACCTCCCTGCAGAGGGAAGGGTCGCAGAGAAGTCCAGTTGCACCAGGAAGTGATCTGACCATGGCACTTCTTTTGTTTCACTTTTACTTAGTGTCAGATCACCCACATCACTAGAGGTGAACACCAGGTCTAAGGCATGTCCATGACTATGAATCTAGTTGAGATTCCTGCGCTGAAGGGGTTGGACTAGACGATCCTCAAGATCCATTCCAATTCTACAATTCTATGATTCATTCAGAACATGAGCTCCAGACCAAGCAAAAAAGTGATCTCAACCAGGATCTTGGGAAGGTTCTCTAGGTATAAAATTCTATGGCTCATTTGAGACACATTTTTAAAAGTGAACTCTCCTGATTAGCACTTTCTGAACAAATACATAGATCAGAACACAGTCATATTTCATGTTTTGCACATCTCTGAATTTTGCAAAATGGTTATTGGCTCCAAAATGCATGTTTTATGTTAAAGGGTGATAAAATATTTTGGGATAAAATGCATATTGAAATGCCAATTTTGTGGGTAAATATGTCAAAAAATAAAGTAAATTTGTATGCATGTTTTTGTTGTTGTTTTTAAATGGAACTTGCAGATTGATGCTGAAATAACAGACTGGATTTTTCAATGCACATATGCATAGCGGACATGGACCAGAAGCAGATTGATCCATCTATCCCTAATATATTTCCCTAAGTGCTGGACTTGAATTCTTTTAGCCCAGAAACTGTGTTTAATTCTGCAAGGACTCTTGTCAGTTTCC